ATTATTATCTCCTAATTAGCCAAGATGAGCATTTGTGGAATCATTGCCATATTGATTTAGTTGTAGTCATGTTTTACATCTTGAGAACACATCCGCACTTTTTTATTATTATTATTATTATTATTATTATTATTATTATTATTATTATTATTATTATTATTATTATATTTTGTGCACCGTATTGATGACTTGAGAGCATTTGTCTATTTGAGGATAAATTGCAATCTTGGACTATTGTGATTTTTACACATATGAACATGTTGAGCGGATTGGGTTGGTGTTGGTACGAGGTCTTTTCCATGCGGATATAGTGATGTGATGATATTGTGACACGAGGTCTTTGTCATGCAATTATGATGGTATTGTTATTGTTATGGCACGAGGTCTTTGTTGTGCGATTATTGTTACCTCACAAGGTCTTGTCATGCACTTATTGTTATGGCACGAGGTTTTTACTGTATAGCGTGTGGATATGGATTCATCCTCCTAGGGTCACCCTTTCATCATTCTCTCTTAATGGCGTACACGCAGATTGTGGTACCTTGACTGATGTTGTTGATTATGTTGTGGAGAGGGATGATGGGAGTTGAGTGTAAGGGTGGAAGCTTGGCCATTCAAGTGAATCCTTTATTCCTTGTTGTCCATTTTTACATGCTTTATGTGAATCTTAACGTGATACTATATGCCTTTATTATTGACTGATAATTTGATTGTCAAGACTGATTTACCTGTGTTGAGTTGATAACTCATGTTTTGTTGAGTTGATGATATTACATCCGGTTATATTCTTGTTGCAAGTTATTATGTCTATTGCACAGGTTCTTTGATTTGTGTGTATCAGATGACTTGAACTTCGTCACTACTTCGCCGAGGTTAGTCTTGATACTTACTGAGTACATGTTATCTCGTACTCATACTATATTTCTGCATATTTTTTGTGCAGACCCAGGTGTTGGTGGGAGTGGGCCTAGGGATAGATGGAATTAGGAATGAAGTTATTCTGAACAAGGTGGGTGTAGCCCTTGGGAGGACAAGATGCGGGAAGAGAGACATAGATGGTTTGGACATATGAGGAGGAGAAACACATATACCCCAATAGGAGGTGTGAGAGTTGGCCTTGGAAGGCCCAAGGAGAGGTAGAGGTAGGCCGAAGTAATATTGGGGAGAAGTGATTAGGCAAGACATGGCGAAGCTCCATCTGGCTGAGGACATGACCCTTGATACGCATCTGTAGAGGTCAAGGATTAGGGTAGAAGGTTAGGTAGCCTAGTGCTTTTCTTGTTCATACCGGTAGTATTAGTACATACTCTCATATTTTTTTGGTATTAGGTTTCTATTACTATTTGTCGTTTCTTTCATTTCAGTCATCTTACTATCTTGTTGTTATTAATGCTGCTTTTCCATGACTTCTTGTTCATGTTTCTTGTTGTTTTTCTTTTTATTACTGTTGTGCTTATGCTTTCCTGAACCGAGAGTTTATTGGAAACAACTTCTCTATCTCCACAAGCTAGGGTAAGGTCTATGTACATACTATCCTCCACAGACCCCACTATTTGGAATTAAACTGAGTATGTTGTTGTTGTTGTCACCTACTGAAGAAAAGGAAAGATATCTACATTTCCCAACAATGTAATAAGAGAATGATGTACGTATAGCTCAACTAAGGCATTGCCAATTTCAACAATTCATATGTTGTCATGGGCAGCTTTCCAGCCATGCCCCATGACCCCTTGGACGCGCCCCGTGGCGTCCTGGCAAGCCTCCCAACACCCATTGCCACGGTTGGCCCCGTGGTCTCGGCAGTTCCAAGTGACAAGCACGCATGTGCCTCTGTCTCCCCACCGATAACCAATGCCAGCACCCAACCAAAGGCAGATGCCAACAGCGCCGCGCGCGCAGACCCTGATGCTAAAGACAAAGTTGCTGCCAACGGACTTGTTTCTGCTTTGTAGAAGACTAAGTCCTTTTCATTGTAAATATTGAGTAGTTTTACTACATTTTCTTTAAGTGTGATTTTCCAGCTTTCATAGGTCTAGTCATGTAACTTTGGTTTATTTTTTTTTAAGCATTNCCCCCCCCCGACACCATATTGTTTTTCTGTAATAGCTTTCATTCAATGCAATCGAGCTTTCTTTCATTCTCTATTCTCTTTCCTGCTCTCTCTCTCAATTGATCACGACATTGGTTTTTTTCGTACGGCACTGACAATCTAGTCTAGCGTACGGAGGGGACCTTAGTTGGAGGACAGCAATCGCACTGACATCGGTTGCTTAGCCTTACGTCACCCTTCCAAGGAATTTCAGGAAGGCGCCGCATAACAGTTGGTATCAGAGCCTAAGCTCGACATCGGACGAGGCATTACATTGCAATTACCACCATTTCTGACCATGGTGAATTATGGGGATCGCATCGCGACCCTTGAGGGAACGGTTGACGCATTACGGCCCATCGTGGAAATAGTGCCTGACCTAAAGACCAGCTAGTGCAAAGGTTGGACGACCTGGACCGCAGACTGATCCAGTCCGAAGTTGACATAGAAAACATCAGTCGCGACTCTGAAGGAGACCGGCAAATGGCAGCCACAGAGGCAGCCAAAATTTTTGGTAAATTCGAGGTCCTCCAACAGGAGCGCGCCGAGGATTTAGCTAACAGGGCACAAGAGGCAGACATAGTGACTACCATGCAATAAACTATAGACAACTTGACAGGCCAGCTCAACATTGTCAATGCTGCTTTACAAGGCCTGCTTCGAGGAGGTGGAAACCAAATTGGGGGTATTGTGAACCTTACCCATGTGGCCCAAAAACTGAAAAATTCCTGAGCCAAAGCCATATAGTGGAGATCGGAATGCCAAGGAAGTAGAAAACTTCATCTTCGACATCGAACAATACTTTGATGTCGTGGGGGGCCTAGAAAAAGCTAAGAAGGTAGCAATTGTTACCATGTATCTTCAGGGTGATGCCAAACTCTGGTGGCGGGTGAAATACGAAGCCATCAAGGCTGGTGAAGATGCCCTCGAGACATGGGAAGAACTGAAGGCAGCCATACGCCTATAGTTCTTCCCCGAAAATGTTTAGTACAATGCTAGGAGAGAGCTACGGGAGCTCCGCCAGACCAAATCAGTGCGGGATTACATGCAAGAATTCTCAGTGCTCATGTTGAACATCCGCGACATGGGGGACAAAGACAAACTCTTCACCTTCCTGGAAGGGTTGAAACCTTATGCCCGCATGGAGTTGCAAAGACAAAGGGTAGACACGTTACTTAAGGCAATCCAAGCAGTAGAGTGCCTTAGGGATTATCAAGTGGAAGCCCGGAAGGACAGGCCTCAACAGCCTGTCCGAGGAGGATACAAAGGAGGCCAACCGAACACTGGTGGTCCTAGCAGAAGTGGAGGAGACCGGAGTACAACCAAATCTAAGGCTCCTTCCTCAGGCAGTACTAGCGCTGCATCTAACAACAATGATCGGGGGAGGAAACCTTTCTCAGGATGCCGTCATTACGGCGGACCACATTGGAATAATGAATGCCCACATGCACAGATGAACGCCCATCAAGTTTTTGAGGATGGGACGGATGACGATGCCGATGATGTGGACCAAACCAAACCAGTAGGTGCATTAAATGCCATTGTTGGCTCTATTTCTGAACCCCTAGCGAGAACCAGTGCTGGTATCCGTAAGAAAAAGGACCCATGTCCAATCGCTAAGAAAGTGAAAAAGAAGGCGAACGAGAGGACTCCTCCTCATCAATAGAGGACCTTAATGTTCGTTGACATGAAGGTAAATGGCAAGCCCATTCGGGCAATGATAGACACGGGTGCCACCCACAACTACTTAGCCTCGACTCAGGTGGAGCGTCTTGGACTAGTTGTAGGAAAGGGCAAAGGTCGTGTGAAGGCTATCAACTCACCACCTCAACCAGTGGGTGGAATAGCCAAAGAAGTACCAGTGAAGCTTGGCCCTTATGAAGGAAAGTTCAACCTGCGCATAGTGATCATAGATGACTTTGAGTTAATAGTGGGGTTGGAATTCCTGAGACAGACCAATACCATGCCCGCACCGTATGCAGACTTGCTACTGATGATGGGAGAAAATGGGGCCAAGCCCTGCATTATTCCATGCATTCCCATGAAGATGGTTGCCGAGAACATCCCGGCCTTGTAGTTGAAGAAGGGGGTAAAAAGACATGAACCCACGTTCCTGGCTACCCTCTGCATGGAAGATATAGAACGCTCCTCGGGTCCCATTCCTGCACTCGTGAAGGAGTTGCTTCTGGAATTTGAAGACATCATGCCACAAGACTTGCCAAAGCATCTTCCGCCTAGGCGAACTGTGGACCATGAGATTGAGTTGGTGCCGAGTGCGAAGCCACCTTCCCGGGTGCCGTACAGAATGTCACAACCCGAACTCACCGAGCTTCGGAGATAATTTATGAAAATTCTAGACACAGGGATCATCGTGCCCTCCAAGTCCCCATACGGGTCCCCTGTGCTATTCCAAAAGAAACATGATGGTAGTTTACAACTCTGCGTGGATTACCGGGCTCTAAACAAAATCACCGTGAAAAACAAGTACCCTATTTCGCTAATGGTAGACTTGTTTGATAGACTGGGTAGTGCGACGATATTCACCAAAATAGACCTGAGGACAGGTTACTGGCAAGTTCGGATTGCAGAGGGTGATGAGCACAAGATGACCTGTGTGACAAGATATGGGTCATACGACTTCCTAGTTATGCCCTTTGGCTTGACTAATGCGCCAGCCACATTTTGCACCTTGATGAACCAAGTCTTCCGAGAATACATTGATGAATTCGTCGTGGTTTATTTGGATGACATTGTGGTATATAGCCAGACACTGGAAGAACACCTGGAGCATTTGCGGAAGGTCCTAGCCCGATTGCGGGAGCACGAATTATATGCGAAGCTATCCAAGTGCTCCTTTGCTCAGAAACAAATTGACTTCCTCGGACATGTCATCGAGGAAGGGCGGATCAAGATGGACCAGCAGAAGATTCAGGCCATCACAGAATGGCCGCCTCCCAAGGATATCGATGCCTTGAGGTCGTTCCTTGGCCTATGCAACTTCTATCAGTGTTTTGTGAAAAGTTACTCCCTCATTGCGGTGCTGCTGACAGAACTTCTCAAGAAGGTCACGGTATGGGATTGGGGCCCCAAGAGAGTAGAGGCCTTCAACGCATTAAAAATGACTATGTCTAGTAGCCCAGTCTTGGCCCTCCCTGACTTGGCCAAGCCATTCGAAGTACAAATGGATGCCTCCGACTATGCACTTGGTGGAGTATTGCTACAAGAAGGGCATCTCGTAGCGTACGAGAGCCGGAAACTGAAGGATGCAGAGCGGCACTATGCCGCCCATGAGAAAGAATTATTGGTTGTCGTTCATTGCTTACGCCTTTGGAGGTATTATCTACTGGGATCCCCATTCGTGGTCAAGACAGACTACACAGCCGTTAGCTATTTCATGACCCAGCCAAAGCTGAATGGTCGACAGGCTAGGTGGCAGGAACTCCTGCGGAATTTCACTTCAACCTGGAGTACCGAAGTGGGAAGACAAATCATGTTGCTGATGCGCTCGGTCGGAGAGCTGATCTAGCATCAGTGTGTGTACTCGCCGCCCTAAGGGGAAGCAAAGTAACCACCACCATAAAAGACCAGATACAGGATCTACTCATTAAGGATCCTGCTGCACAGTATTTGGTTGATTTGGTAGGACAGGGCAAGACTCGCCAGTTCTACACCGAAGATGATTTCCTGAAAGTGAAAGGGAACTGACTTTATGTTCCTAAAGGAGGAGATCTGCGAAAGGTTCTTCTGGCGGAATACCACGATACTTTGTGGGTCGGTCATCCCGGTGAGGAACGCACCATGGCATTGCTTCACCGTGCATATTATTGGCCTCAAATGGTCGATGACGTCGCTCAGTATGTGAAGACTTGTCTAGTATGCCAGAAGGATAAGTCAGACCGCTTGACGCAAGCAGGGCTCTTGGAACGACTAGCTATCCAAAAAACACCTTGGGAAAGCGTTTCCCTGGACTTCATCACCGAATTGCCCAAGGTCGGAGATCTCACAACTATCTTGGTTGTGGTGGATCGGTTTTCCAAGTATGCTACCTTTATAGCAGCCCCACAATATATATCAGCAGAAGATACAGCTCGACTCTTCTTCTCTCATGTCATCAAATATTGGGGCCTACCTAAAGACATTGTTAGTGATCGCGACTCACGCTTCAATAGCAATTTTTGGACCCAACTCTTTAAATGTCTCGGGTCAAAATTGAGTCATAGCTCAAGTTTTCATCCGCAATCAAATGGCCAGATGGAGTGATTCAATGGCATGCTAGAGGAATATCTCTGGCACTTTGTGACCGAATTGCAGAAGAACTGGGTGAAGCTTCTGGATGCTGCTCAACTGTGTTTCAATTCACAAAAGAGCTCAAGTACCAACAAAAGCACTTTTGAAATTGTTATCGGACAACAACCGCTACTCCCACACACTATGAACGCACCAAACATGTCAAAATCTCCTCGGGTTGCTAGCTTCTCAAAAGAATGGAAGCAAAATTTGGAGATAGTGCGGAGCTATCTTGTCAAAGCCCAAAAGCGGATGAAGAGGCATGCTGATCAGAATCATCGCTTTATTGAATACCAAGTGGGAGACAAAGTGATGGTCAAAATCCTAAAGCGGTACTTGTTTGCAGGGGTCCATGACCCTCGCCTATTGCAAAAATATATTGGACCCTTGTCCATTGAAAGGCGCATTGGGAAAGTTGCATACCGGGTGGATACCCCAGCTTGGTGGAAAGTCCATCCTGTTTTCCATGTCAGTCTCCTAAAACCTTTTCGGGAAGATATGGAGGATCCTTCACAAAGCCAACTCATAATACCAAGTATTCGAGGTCCCAATTCAACCGGGAAAAGACGTGCTAAAGCTATTCTTGATGATCGAGTGATTCACGCCTCAAGGAAAGATCACAAAGAGTTCTTGGTGAAATGGCAGAGATGTGATGCAGAGGAGAATACTTGGGAGAGGGAACAAACCTCAAAGCCTACAAGAGCCTGATTGATGATTACCTTGCAAGGAAGGCGCCGAGGACGTCGCCAACTCAGGTGGGGGAGAATGTCATGGGCAGCTTTCTAGCCATGCCCCATGACCCCTTAGACGCCCCATGTGGCGTCCTGGCAAGCCTCCCAACGCCCATTGCCACGATCGGCCCCGTGGTCTCGGCAGCTCCAAGTGACAAGCGCTCATATGCTTCTGTCGCCCAACCGATAGCCATCGCCAATGCCCAGCCACAGGTAGATGCCAACAGCGCCGCGCGCGCAGACCCTGATGCTAAAGACAAAGTTGCTGCCAACAGACTTGTTTCTGCTTTGTAGAAAACTAAGTCCTTTTCATTGTAAATATAGAGTAATTTTACTANAATAGCTTTCATTCAATGCAATCAAGCTTTTTTTCATTCTCAATTCTCTTTTCTGCTCTCTCTCTCTCTCTCAATTGATCACGAGATTAGTTTTCCCGTACGGCACTGATAATCTAGTCTAGCGTACGGAGGGGACCTCAGTTGGCGGACAACAATCGCACTGACATCAGTTGCTTAGCCTTACGTCGCCCTTCCAAGGAATTTCAGGAAGGCGCCGCGTAACAGTTGGTAGGCAAGATTCGAATGCATCGCCTCATAGGTAAGAGCCAAAAGTTTATCTTGGTAAAATTGTCGATGAAGAATTATTATAAGATAAAATTGTCCGGAGTTATATCACGTAATAAAAATCAGCAGAAAGTAGCTTCTCAAGACTCGGTGTTGGAAGTCACTAGGAAATAGAAACAGGAAGTGCAAAGATCGGAGAGTTGTCATAGAAGTTGCTAAATGGATAGCATGGATGGAAAGAATAGAAGAGCCCTGAAGTAAAATAGTCAAATCACTTGCACCAGCCGGGACGTTTAGAGGATAAGAATAGTAAACTTCTTCTCCGGGGAATGCAACAGTGCTATACATTTGGTATCATTAATATAACTCTGCATCTGTAAGAAAAGTTATTTTATTTATCCAGAGCAGATCCTTTTTTTTATAACCGTGGTGTCCGGGCTATCTTGCGTGCACCTTGACTAATTTCACGGGATACCTATTACCTTCCACCGGCAACAGGTACTAGGTAACTCTGTCCACCGAGGCTTTGACAGATGGGAAGAAATCGCCTAGTGTTCTTATCTCCGCTATGATTTCAACCTAAAACCTCATGGTTCTTAACCCACTGCATTGACCACTAGACTACACCCGGAAAAGAAATCACCCACAGCAGGTCCTTAAAGCTGATGATTTAAAGAGCTCAAACCAGGACAAAGATTGTCATCTAAAAGTAACTTCATTCGAAATGCAGCTGAGTTGATCTGTGTTTATAGACAATAAATATGTCAAATTCCAACACATGGACTTCTCATAGTTGTTCAAAATGGCCTTTAGAGAATAACAAACAGACCGACAATTTTTTTTTTTTGAACAAGAGAAGATTTACATGCCATTTACATTGAAATAAGCTCTTAGTTCATTATATTTACAAATACATAGAAGAACAAATTAAAAAATAAAATTTGTAGCAACGTCTCCAAGAGCCATCAGTCTCAATATCTTTAGTCATTCTTGGAAATCACTGTATCATCCTGGCTGATATGCCATTAGTAATCTCGTCATTTTTGTTCTTGTCTTACCGCAATCCATAGACTTCTGCCAATTCGCAACGACGTCTCTAAGAGCGTCAGATAGGCAATTTCAAGAGTAATTTATCAGAATTTTGAGTATGAAGCCTCATCTTATAGTGTAAATTATATTTAGATTCCATGATGTAGTGTAGAAGTAGCAGAAAAAGGTTTGCATAATTAGTATTTATCTCAGCGGAAGCTACTGCCAAGGAACATCTCCGTTATAGAGGATTGGACTACTTTCATATTACCTGTACAGGTTTCACGTCCAGTGCAAGGAAATGGGAAGCTCCAGAGGGCCAGTGATGGAGCAATTTCCATATCACTCACTGAGAGGGAAAAAGAGACAAGTTCTATTTAGATGGATACATAGACAGGCTAGGATCAGAGGCATATCACCAGTAATCACCACATGAACAAGCTCCATTTTGGAAGTGGTGAAACCTATTTATATCTCTTATAACAATTTCTCGCTGCACCATTGTTGATATAAACTTGATTGCTGCATGACAGTCCAAACATATTCGTAGATTTTTTATAATCCGGATTGGGCTTCCAGGCAGCGTTCTAAGTAAAGCAAAGGCTAAAGCTAATCTCTCACTATGTAACCACAGGAGGCGTGTCTTTTCATCATCGTCTACATCAAGTAGAACAACATCACAATTAGGAACATAACCTCCCCTCTTACTTTTCAAGTTAAACAATTCCAACATTCCATGTATAAGTTTGATATCAGGATGTGAAGCATCACCAACAGAGAAATAATGAACACTGCCCTGGTGTTCAACCCAACTAAGTCCTGGTTCCTTCTTTAGTCGTTTCTTCTTCATGCTTCTCCGAACAAAAGCTACATTATTCCACCTTTTCGAAGTGGCATACATATTTGATAACAACACATAAGTTGCTTCATCTTGTGGTTCCAATTCAAGCACTTGCTGAGCAGCTGTTTTCCCAAGCTCAACTTCATTATGAAGAACACAGGCCCCAAGCAAAGCACGCCATACCATGACACTTGGCTCAAATGGGATGTCTTCAATCAACTTAACAGCCTTATCAAGGTGACCTAAGCGCCCCAAAAGTGATACCATGCATGTGTAATGCTCAACGGACGGTTCAATACCATAATCATCTAGCATTAAAAAGAGATAGGCATATCCTTGATTCAAAGATCCTGAATTGCTACAAGATGAAAGAACACCAAGAAATGTTAATTGATTAGGCTTGACTTCCGTTTTGCGCATTCTCTCAAAGATATTGAGAGCCTCATTCCCAAGACCATGCATGGAATATGCTGAAACCATAGCATTCCATGAAACAACATCTCGCTCGTTCATTGTTTCAAATGCTAAACGAGCATCTTTAATACTCCCACATTTTGCGTACATATCCATTAAAGCGTTTCCAACAGCAAGATCTTGATTGTAAGTGGTTTTTATAGTCAAAGAATGAATTTGAAGACCTGGCTCCAATGCAGCTAGGGTTGCACAAGCACGCAGCAGGGAAGAATATGTCACCGATGAAGCCCGTACTTGGGCTTCAAGCATATCCGTGAATAGATTTAGCGCCTTCTCTCCATCTCCACATTGTACATGGCCAACAATAATAGTGTTCCATGATACCTCATTTCTGTTTTCGGTCTCCAAAAACATGCTTACTGCATTTTCCACCTTTCCGCACTTAGCATACACATCCATGAGGGCATTTGTAACAAACACATCGGAATTAAGACCAGACTTTGTCACGTAGCAATGGATTTGCCTACCAAGGTTTAAAGCCTCCACTGATGCACATGCATGCAGCACACTAGCAAAAGTAAACTGGTTTGGAGCAACTAATGCTCTCCTCATTTGGGAAAAAAATTCCAGTGCCTCGTCACAGCGGTCACTTTGTGAATACCGCGCTATAATAAAACTCCAATGAACTACATCACGTTCAGGAATCTCTTGAAACACACGTGCAGCATCATTCAGATCTCCAGATTTACAGTATAGGTCAAGCAACGAAATCCCAACTGAAGGATCCATCTCATACCTAGTTTTCAATACACATCCATGAAAACTCTTGCCCACATTAATAGCCTCTAGACCAAGGCAAGCCTTCATGACACTCGCGAATGTATAGTTGTTTGGAATCCAACCTGCCATCCTCATTTGAGAGAAGCATCCCAGTGTTTCATCAAACTTATCATTTTCTGCATAGCAAGTAATCATCCCTGTCCAAGAAACCATGTCCTTATCAATAATGCCATCAAAAACGTCCCTTGCAAAATCAACAAGTCCCAAAACAGAGTAAGAATCGATGAGGGCAGTGCTGACAAAAGGATTAGAGTCATGTCCAAGCTTATAAATACACGCATGAATGCTCGAACCCATCTCTGCCTCATCCATACTCACAAACACTTTCAAGATTGTTGTGAATACAAATGGGTTCAGCTCATGACCTTCTCTATGCAATCTAACAAACAATTCAACAGCTGCAATGTATTGCTCTGCCTGCAAAAAACACTGAAGTAAAGTAACAAATGAAACCACGTTTCTCATAGGCATTTCGTCGAACAGCCGAACTGCATCATGTAATAACTCAGACTTGCCATACAAGTTGAGCAAAATATTCTGCCCAAATAGGTCTAAACATTCACCTCTCTTCAAAATGTCGCAATGGAGTGCCTTTCCGGCTATGAAATCCCTGTTCATTATGCAATTCTGAAGCACATTGGCGTATGCAGAAGAATCGAATGATGGAATTTCCAAATTCGTGTTTTGTTGTTTGGTCAAATGGAGGGCTTGGGATGAGATATGGCAGTGCCGAAACAGAACCCAGAAGTGGGATGTTGCAAATTCGGTCCATGTCTGCCTTCTGCCCAGTGCGTATCTCAGCATGCGTGCTTCGGCAAGACAACGCTGGTTCCCCTTAATGAGCAGCCAACATAAGCCTAGATTAATGGGCTTCGCTTAGAGATTTTCTCATATGTTAGTGGGAAATTAAGGTGGATTTGCAGCCGTACCCTATATTTGTGTCACCTTTTAATATATATCCTATTTTTAAAAATTATTGATTTAGTAGCCATCTGATAAAATATCTATAATAATATGATAATTACACCCCTCATAAAAGATATAAAATATGCATGACGCATTAATCGCGTGATCTGCAACCTCATTCGTGAAAAAAGATCTCCTCCTCTCCTCTCAACAGCTTTATCAAAAAACCAAAAACTTGTCCAGATTCATCTTCAGAATCACACTTGCACGAAGTTATTTCACCTTGAAACTAAAACTTCATGCTAATGTAGCATGAAGTTGTTTCATGTTGAAGTTAAAACTTCATGCTAATATAGCATGAAGTTGTTTCACATTGAAGCTAAAACTTCATGCTAATGCATGCTGAAGTTATTTATCCTGCAATCTACAGTTTTGTCATGAGTTTTATTCGAAACTTCAGTCTAAACATGCTGAATTTATTTAGGTCATTTGCTAAAACTTCAGACTAAACATGCTTAAGTTTTTTAGTTCATTTGCTAAAACTTCAGACTAAACATGCTTAAGTTATTTAGTTCATTTGCTAAAACTTCAGACTAAACATGCTTAAGTTTTTTAGTTCATTTGCTAAAACTTCAGTCTAAACATGCTGAAGTTATTTAGTTCATTTGCTAAAACTTTAGACTAAACATGCTTAAGTTTTTATCTTGCAGTATATAATTTTCTAATGAGTTTTTGCTAATGTATGCTGAAGTTATTTAGTTCATTTGCTAAAATTTCAGACTAAACATGCTTAAATTTTTTAGTTCATTTGCTAAAACTTCAGACTAAACATGCTTAAATTTTTGTCTTGCAGTATATAATTTTCTAATGAGCTTTTGCTAATGCATGCTGAAGTTATTTAGTTCATTTGATAAAACTTCATACCAAAACATGCTGAAATTTTGTCATGCAGTCTACAGTTTTGTCATGAGTTTTATCCGAAACTTCAGTCTAAACAAGTTAAAATTTTTTAGTTCATTTGCTAAAACTTCATACTAAACATGCTTAAATTTTTGTCTTGCAGTATATAATTTTCTAATGAGCTTTTGCTAATGCATGCTGAAGTTATTTAGTTCATTTGATAAAACTTCATACCAAAACATGCTGAAATTTTGTCATGCAGTCTACAGTTTTGTCATGAGTTTTATCCGAAACTTCAGTCTAAACAAGTTAAAATTTTTTAGTTCATTTGCTAAAACTTCATACTAAACATGCTTAAATTTTTGTCTTGCAGTATGTAATTTTTTAATTAGTTTTTTCTAATACATGCTGAAGTTATTTAGTTTATTTGCTAAAATTTTATACCAAAACATGCTGAAGTTTTGCCCTACAGTCTACAGTTTTGTCAATAGTTTTATTAAAGAAGAGCAAAATTATCTTTTTAAAATGCTTTTAACAAAAAAAAATGGGTACGGATGCAAACGAAAAAATAAAACGGGTATAAGTTAAAAATGAACGACCAAATAGGGCGCCCCATGCAATTTTTACGAAATAAAGAAGGGTAAGAAAGGGTAGAACACTTCGGTGCCACTATTGATTTTTTAACCATGTTTGTCGTATGGACACAACTTTTAAGTTTAACAAATATTGTCTCTCACTTGTTCCGTTGGTAACACTTTTGACTTTTGACCTTAAATATTTGCACAGAAGGTAAGTGGAGGTAAAAAAAAATAAGGCCATCCATTTTCTAGGTCATTGGGTATAATTTTCAACATAAGAAATTGAAAGAAAATTCTATTTTTTCATACGAAAATAAAATTTGGATAAAAATATCCTTAGTTAAAATTCGAAAAGATTCCATCATAATATCATGAATTTTGAATTTCTAACCTACGAAATTTTACCATAATATGCTGTAATTCATAATATGCTGGAATTCCAAAATAATATGTTGGAGTTTTATACACAAGAGCTCCATAATCCAGCATATTATACTGAATTTTTTTCGTGTTTTAGCTAAGAATATTTTATTCTAAATTTTATCTCAGCGTTAATAACTATTACAAATATTGGATATTTTTCAATTACAATTTCAAAATTTGGTCTGCCATGCTATTTTGGTTAAGAAATACTCCTAATAGGTTGGACTTCTTCAATAAAAATTAGACAGAAAGACCCGATAGGCCGTTTTGAGTTCTAGCTTCTCATTTCGTGATTTAAGACCTTACATAGCTTTATTTGGTGATTTATGACTTGTTGTGACGATTTGATAGGTCGTTTTGAGTACTACACTTTATTTCTGTACTTCGAGACCTCTTATAGCTTTCTTTGATGTTAATCGATTTGCGTGTGTGGTTCGCGTTATTTTCCGAAAAGGTTTTACTTTAAATGTAGAAGAAAA